TCCACATCACAATCTCCTCATAAACACACTTAAAGAATCCGTCAAATTGTTTTCTTCTTCTAAAAAGCACGTTGTTTCCCCAGGGCATCAGGGTTCGTTTCTAACTCAGTTCAGAACCTGAAGTTGGCCCAGCACCTCTCATTAAATTCTCCCTTTGGTCTCTGAGCAGGAAGGAAAAAAGTCACTCACTTCTCATAAAGCTGAGCGATCCATTCATAGGAGGAAAGAACAGCACAGAGCGAAGAAGAAAGCTGTACTTGTTCCATTACACAAAATTATGTGCATGACAACTGTGCTACTGAAGACAAATTGCAATAACTAGAGATAACCTGACTTGTTACAAGTCCATTTAGAAAACAAGTACCTATGCTGTCTTTCAACTCCTCTTTAGCTCCTTCAGTCACAATTATTGCATGTACAGGGTTGGGTTTTTTTGTTTGTTTTGTTTTTTTTGACTGATGTAGTATATACTGTTTCCAATAGTACAAAAAAAAAAATCAGTAAGGATGGTATGCATGTCCCTTAGTCCCAGGTATATGAACATATAATTTCATGAATCTGTAGGTTTTATGTCATCTCTTCCCACATCTAGGGAGTAAGAATACATAAGATTGTATGTTAAAACCAACAAAAATTTTAAAAGCTTCCAAGAGAACTCACTTCTTCTTCAATATACTGGCTCTAAATAGAGAGCTGCTGCAAAAATCTGTCATATAAATAGCAAAATAAATATAATAAGTATCATGGTGTCAGTACATAACAGAGCAAAAAGAAAAGCTGACTGGGACTTTTAGTAACTAAAAATCCTTCTTCTATTAGGTAGCAAAATATTATACAGAAAAAAAACAATGAAAAATTTTAACGAACTGGTGCAAAAAACAGCAATCATTCCCAAGATTTTATTTAGAAAGTTACAACACATTTTAGACTTTCTCCCAATAAGTAATATTTGCATTATCTCACACGCTGAGCTGGATGTTACAAACCATGAAAGACCAGAAATATTTTGTGAAGGGTTCGTGAACCCTTGCATGTCACGTGGCCTGAAAATTCAATGCAATTACAGCCAACCTTGGGAAAAAAACACAGACTTCTGGTAATACCTTATTCATAAACAACCCTTTGATCTGTATGTTTAAGAAAAAATAAAATAAATCCATTCTAAGTACTCTTGAAGGAAAAAAAGCCCAAGAGAAAAAGAGAACAAATGATTTCAAATGCTTCTAGTGTATCAGCATTCCTAAAACAATTCCCTTCTTAAATACCACTCTACAATAATGAAACAGCAATAAAAGCATTTCCGTTAAGATCTGCAGAGAAGAGATATTTAATTTAATAAGCATTTCTTCAATATGATCTTACAACAAACATCTCAGTAGCTTTTAAAACTGTAGTTGGATTTTTCTAGTAAATAAAGGATAAGGAGCTCATTCAAGATGAAGTAAAGTGATGCAAGTCCCTGGTACAGTTCTAAAGGAAGGTAGATGGCTAACACGTCAAAATGAAAAGAAGGGCCTTAAAAAAAAATGAGCCCAAAATGGAAAACATGAAGAAAGGTAGGGCAATAAAATGTTTAGCCGATGAAGCCAGAAGCGACACACTTCATGTTCAGGGAGGTCAATTAGAAAGTAATCAAGTCAGAATATGGTTTTTATACAGTTATTAGTATAATTGTCAAAAATATTTGAATTGCTGGGAGTGGTCCCTTAAACACATTTTCTGCGCAACGCCCAACGAGTACAAAAAAGGCTCCACACAGAACCATGTTCAGCGACACCATTTTGCAGATGAGGCTTACCACAGTACTTTCTTACCCAATGTCTGCATATGTAGTAATACACCTACCACAGGAAGAAGACTAATAATTCTTTTTTCTTAGCCCAGGAAATTAAATAAATTGCTAGAAATCAATAAAATCCATCTGCAGCAAATTATATGTGGCAGAAAATTATGGCAAAGTTCAGTACAAACTTTGACTATGTTGTCATGATTGACAGCACTATCTAGTATTCATTTACTATGTCAGTACAACTCCCCTGAGTAAGTCTATTATGACTACTATTATTCCGAAGAGTCGACGAGACTTTTACTCAGTCAAGTATTCTACATGAGGTAAATATGGCATTAAATATGGCATCTCATAAACACAGCAGTCCCTACTCCCTCCAGTTTCTCAGCAGTAACTGAATTATCTGTTTATTATAGGGCACCAATCCAAAGTTGCCTTAATCCCAAACCTGGTGAACTACAAGAGCCAGCAGTTGTCACCAGACTGGAGGTGCCACCAGTGCACGGACCTGATCCACTGCTAAGTCATCAGTGTCCTGGTACAGCAGCTGCCCTCCACCCTGCTTGCACAGGTGGGGAGGAGACTCCTGCAAAGCTCAGCCCTAGGCAGAACCAGGAGACAACACCGTCTCTGACTCTTCCTTCCACCCTTTGTTAGTCCCATAGGTCTCCCCATCCAAATCTTATTTCAAAATAATGCAACTGCTCAGTGTTTTAAGAACATGAAACATGAGGGCTATTTATAAAGTTCCTCCTTAGAATTAGCACACAAAAATGATATCATTTTCTTGTTTCATGCAAATAGCTTCTGTTAGTGGCAAAACATTGCACAAAGGTCACAAAGCAAGTGCTTCAGGCCAGGCACTCACTGCCTAGCATTTCACAGGTAACTCTTTCGAGGAGAGTAGTTCACAACTGCATGAAAGCCATCTGAAAAAATGTAGAACTCTAGCATGAATAGTAGCTTACAAAAAAAAAAAAAAGTCACTGCAGTATCTAGTCTGGATCAATGGCTGAAATAGAAGAACAAAAACAAGGAAATGTGAAGTAAAGGTTAACAGCAGACAGCATTGTGTCAGTGCTATAAAACTAGCTCAGCTAAAATACATAAGTGACCTTGTGTGATAATTGCTTGGAAAAGCAGGCAGGCCATTCCAGATAGGAAGCATAACCCTGGCCATTTGTAAAATATAGAAACAATCAACATTATATGAATTATTTCCCAGATCAGGTCCCCTGGCGTAAGTATGAAAAACACAAATATGGCTCTGAAGGAGTTTGCTGTGGGAAAAGGTCCTTTAAGAACCTCTTCTACCAAACTCATCCACTGCTCTTCTTCCCGAGGCAACTCCAACGAGCACACAAAACAGTCCATGTATTATTTATTTTCTTTCCTACCGTTTCGTGGTCATACTAAAATGAGTATGTAAACAAGTCGTAAAGACAAGATACCATTTAGCATCTGCCTAAATACCGTCACTTGGCTGACCCGTTCGGTGCGCAGTTCAGGCTAAGCTCCTGTCTTCCTCTCCAAAGGCAGCAGGGCAGTTCTGCAGCACTCACGCGGCGTTGTTCCTCCCAGGCTGGGCAGCTCGTTCCGAACCTGAGCGCCAACTCAACGCGAGAGGCACAGGTCCCAGGCAGGACAGGTCCCAGGCCCAGCGCCCGCGCACAGGTCCGTAACGCGAAGGGAAGGAAACGCTGGGCGTCCCCAGGCTTACATAACACACAACTTCAGGGCGCCCGTCGGCGACAGTCCCTCATTGCAATACCGCTGGCCAGGATACCACGCCATCTAGTTAACGTATAAGCGGCGGCAATGGCCCGAAAGGAGCAGTCCCACACCCCGCCCCGCTCCCAGGTATCGCTGAGCTGCGGCGTTTCCCTCGCAGCCCGCCCCGCCGCCGCTTACTTCGCTCTCCAAACTTTTCCCCAGCGCGTTCCCTCGGCCTCGGAACAGCACGGACGGCGGCAGGCGTTAGCGGCCCGTTCACAGCTCGGGGCGGGGAGGACACCTGCCGGGCGCGGCGGCCGTCGGTTGGCCTCGGCCCGCGCTGCCCGCTGTGGTGAGGGACCGCTCCCGCCTCGCGGCCGTGCGTCACGCGGCCGTGCCTCCCAGGTGTGGCGCCCAAATCAGATCTCCTCCCTTCAAGCCCCGCTCAGGGCAGCGCCTACGGGCGGAGGGAACGAGAAGTTCCTTCTCGCCCTCAAACCCTCTGGGTACCCTGCAAGGGCACGGCGTCCCTTCCTCACCGCTCCCGCCACTGCGGGACGCCGCGTCCCACGGCCGCGTCCCCTGCGGCTCCGCTCTCCAGCCCGCGGCTCTCCCCGCCGCCCTCCCTCCCTCCTTCAGACCCCTTCGCAGCGCAGCGGTGCGAGGCGAGAACGGAGAGATGGGAGAACCGAGCGAGCGGCAAGGTGACACGAGAGCCTCCCTCCCGCCCAGGCGGCGAGCCCTCCGCCTCAGGGCCGCCGGAGCCGGGTCCCTCCCGCTGCCCGCGGGCAGTTCCCGAGCTCCCCTCACCGCTCTCTCCTCGGGGGCCGTTTCTCCGCGTCGCTGCCTCTGGTAATAAGCTGAAGACCGGGGCGAGCCGCCGCTCGGGGCTCTGCTGCAGCTCTTTCCCTTCAGCCAAGCGGGGCGCGCGGCTCCGTCCGGCCCGGCCTGAGGTGAGGCCCTGCTCCCGCTGGAGCCCCTCCGCTGCGGCGCCGGGAGCGCCGGGCCCGCCTGTACCCTCCGCCCCGGCTCCGCTGCACCTGCCGCGCTGCCGGGCTGTCCCTGTGGTGCGAGCCGAGGAGAGGAGAGGGCACCTCGCTCCGTCCTCCCTCAACTTCTCATCACTTTCCTCCGCCCCCGCTCGGCCCCACCGCGCTGCCGACCCGGCGCCCTCCCGCCCGCCGGACGCATGCACCGGCGCAGCCGTCGACCCTCCGGAGATGCCCTCGGGCGCACAGGGAGCGGCCGCCCCTCGGCCCTGCCCCTCGCCGGTACGGAGAACCGCTGTCCCGCTCCCCGGGCGCCCTCCCGCCCCATGCACTGCCAGGCTCCCGGCGCGGCGACGAGCCGCCGGCGGGGCAGGTGCCCTGTGCCCGCCTCTGGCGGGTGGCACCCGGCCGCGCTCCGCCAATCAGTTCGGGCGCGGCGGGGATGCCGCCGAGGTGGCACCGCCGGGAGGCGGGGGAGGCCGCGGCCGCGCGAGGTGAGCGCTGAGGGGCCAGAGGTGCCGTGAGCCGCGTGGCGTTGGCGCGGCGGGAGCGCGCTGCTAAGCGTGGAGGATTGGCGAGGCGCGAAACAGAGCTCCTCATCTCCGCGCGTCGTAACTGTGAGGGCTGAGCTCTGCCTTAATGCCCGTTTGCCTTTTCGTTGCCAGTAGGCTTTGTTTAAAATCAAAACGCACAAGTACTCCAGAGCTCCTCAAGCCTGACTTCCCGGTTCGTTAGAGCTAAGCTTAGTTGCCTAATTGATCCCAGTTACTCGAGTGATACACCTTATTTCTTTCTCCTCCAGGAAAGCGCGTTCAGCTTCCGACTGCTCGTGATCCCTGTTGGGGGAAAACTGACTGAAGTGACGTAGTGCTGTCTGATCTCTTGTTTTCTGTCATCCTGGGGAAAAAACTACCAGGAGGTGTCCAAGTGGTTACCTGGCGAAGCTTAAATACTAATGGTAATTCTGCAATTATTGATGTGGTATTGTGGTTTGTTTTGTTTTTTAAACTCTTTTCAAAAGGGTAGTTTTGCAGCTGAAAGGAAGAACAGTATTATTTAAGAGAATGGGACTCCTGCATCTGTCATGTACCTTTCAAAGCCAAAACTTTTGTCCTGATCAAGTTCTAAGTCCAAAAATGTTTTATAGACTTATCACATCTAAACCTTTTCTTCATATTGAGGTTCTCATAAAGACCTTTAAGGGAAAAGGTGATTCAAAAACTCCTTCTGGTTTGAGGAGTTCAAGTTAGTCCTTTGATAAAAGCGAAGTTGTAAGTCTCATCAGTAAAAGCAAGAAAGTTATACATTTATAATCCTTTTTTAGGTAAGGTAAAAGAATGCCATGATAAAAAAAAAAAAAAGAAGAAAAAGAAAAAAATACATAAGCTTTAAACTGGTCTCCTTTCTTGTAAAGATGGCTTGCAAAAGAAAATGCAGGGTTAGTTTATTAGTCCAGTCTGTTTGGGACTTACACCTTTGTATGATGTTCATCACAGTCTTTTAAGACCTCTTGAAGTTTCGAAGTATAAAACAAACAATCAAACTTTCTCAAATTTCATGTCCCTTATGATATGTAAGATTAAATGAGGTATTAAGTTTCAGTGGATGTTAGCTACAAGATAATGGTGGCACTTGGCTTTCAGGATAAGTGTGGGCAAGCTTCTACAAATCAGGATCTGAAGCTAGAGGTCCCTTAATCAAGCATGCAGAATCACTATTATATTGAAAGTTTTTGTTTCAGCAAGGCAGAGTTCCTTAATTTTACAATGTTCTGATTTCCTGTTTCCTATCTTCAACAAATCGGACACCAGCATAGGGCACTTAAAACATTTTGTTGAAAATTAATGTGTTCGCTGTTAATGGTTTCTTCATAGCATTGCAAACCTATTTTGTTATTATGTAGTCATGTTTCTCAGATGAAAATGTTCTGTAAATTCCATAGTGCCCATGAATTCCAGCTCTCATTACTAAGCATTTCAAATCAAAGAATATGACATTGTTTGGTCTTTGCCTGTTATAGTTACGTACTACTGCAAATTTGCTTTTGCTTAGACTCCAGTTGTGTGCATAAGTTGTGTTGAACAGTTTTGTATTTCAAAGTCAATCTTTTTTGTTTAAGGGAAGTACTGAAATACTCAGTATGTAATGTTACAATGATATTTACTCTCAGAGCAGCTGACTTCTGGCTTAGAAGACTAACTTCAAGTTCGAATGTTCTGTTAGCAGAATCTTCAATTTATTGCATGCAGCTAATCCTATTATGATTTTTTTTCTTTGACTTGTCCAGGAAAAGCAACCTCAAATAATAACTGTAATTGGTTTTCCTGGTATAGAAGACTAAGAACTACTAAACATAGATTGTCTTGCCTTTTGATTAAAATTTTAAGTACAGAAATACAGTGCAGTTTGAGATGAAAGCTTCTTCTTTTCCACATCACAATCATTTTACACAGTAATTGAATCCAGAATTAATAAGTTGTAATATAATTATTAATATGTGAAAACAAGTTTCATCTGTCACGATTTAATCTCTTTTAGAAATATGGGGCACTCCTGGAAACTCAAATTATGGGATCTTAGCCGATGAAGTAGTATTTCAGTCTGGAATATTGATATCTTGTACATGACAGCTCCAGTCTTATTCCCTGACCTTTTTGGGATGAACGTTTTAGTGATGTCCATATACTTGCTTTGTCATTACAGAGATGTGAGTTTCAGATTGTTTGGGGAATAAAAAGAGTCTAATGCAGTTTTGTGTGTGTATTTGTCATGTACCACATATTTATAGCAACCCAGCTGTGGAAACAATAAATATAAGGTACAGCCCAATATTTTTGTTGGAATGTTTGTAGGATTTTTTGTTATTCTGTAAATTTTATAACATAATGTAGAAATTCTATCAGAAACATTTTGGAATCTCGGAATTCCTTATTAGGAAAATTAAATACATATGTATTAAAACAGTGAACATTCACAAAAAGCTATGACTGTGGAGCTTTTAGAATTTTCATTAAGTTTTACATTGGTAATAAACACTTCTTGTTTTTGAATAACCTTCCATTGTTACCCAAAGGGACACACTTATACTCTTCTCAAGAAAGGAGTTTATTTAATTTGCTTACAAATTGGACATTTACATAATTCAAGCTCTTTTTAATAAATGAGAAGCAAGGAATGAATCTTGACATGAAGTTTTTCTCTGAGGGGTTTAGAATTTGGTTCTGTTGGATGAAAATAAGAGTGCAGCTGCTGGAAAACACTGATCTCTGTTTGCAAGACTATGTTTTCTTTCTACTAGAATTTTTCTCATAAGAATATGAAAATCGTTAATTCCAGATTTGTTTATCTTCACATCTAGCTGTTTAGACTAGATGATAGATATGCCTTAAATCAAGGGTTATGTGCTGCTTTTATCCCGAATTGCACAGGTCTGTTGGTAAAAGCAGTTTCCTAGGTTCCCAGACTGTGGTGATTCCCAAGCAATTCTTTAGGTGTTTCTTCCTAGTACCTTGATTGTTTTGCTTATATGTGCACATATTTTTAGGATTTCTGCAAGCAAAATAGAAGTGTAGCCTTCCATGTAACTCATCTAAGATAGCTTTAGCTAATTTTGCTTGTTAATTGGTATGAGGTCATAAGCAGCCAATATATTTAAATAAGGTTTTTAGTTTTATTGCCTTTACTAGTTTGCCAGATGGATCTGATTATCTTAAATGCATATTGTCTAATTTAATTGCAGTGTTCCCAGACAACCATCTCTTCCACATGTACTTGCCACATCTTGTGACGTTCTTCAGAGATGCAAATAAATACAATAGAAGTGTGTGGAAGAGTGCCTGTATTGTAGGCAACAGTTGGCCTTGTTGTCCTAAATAATTGATACTATCACAAAAGTGATGTTTATTCTACTGCTGTAGGTGACTACTGCAATTGTGTATATTTCTGAATAGTGGTTGAAATAATTATTTCTAGTTAACTGCTACAAATCCAGCATTTTTTCATTTGGTGGAAATTCCAGTGATGCAGATGTAGTTTCTCTCTGTACAGCCGGTATGTTTACAAAACATACATTTTCATTCCTTAAACAATACCTTTATTAGTGGAAGAAAAAATCATTTGTAAACCAAGTTAAGTAAGCAGTGGCTATTGGCTGTTTGTTGTCTGACAGTGCTATAAATTTCTGAGGAGATTTTGTTCTGAGTATTTACTTTTTGGCAGTAACGCCAGAACAATTTCATAGAAAATTCTTTTAAAACTGTTAATATCATTTTGATGTTCTTTGTTACAAAGGACACAACTTGGCTAGTGAAGTTACAGGAAAGAGCACTTAAAGTGTTTAAGGAGACAGAGCAGCTTCCTTGTGAGTAGAGATTAAGGAAGCTGAAACCCTTGTTTAGAAAGGAAAAAGCTGAGTACCATACGGTCAAGATTTATGAAACTTTGAAGGAAATAGATACACAGCTGTTATTCAATAGATCCTATAATCCAAAAACCAGTGATGCTTGCTGTAACAAGTGTTGAAATAGATTAAAGGTATGAAAAGAGGTTCTTCTGAACAAGCAGCTGAACTTACTTTTTAACAAAGGAAATTGTAGAGGTAGGTGGCTTCAATATCATTTGGAAAGGAGGGGTAAGGATATTTCTAGCTACGCATCTATGAACAACAATCACAGGTTGTACTACAATTGTTGAGGTACAATAAGCATTTATTCTAGGGGTGAGATAAGGAAATTTATTACAGGAAATGGCTTCTATTTTCTTACTGTCAGAAACCGAGCAGTGAACTTGAGGGGCTTGGCTCACCCACACTGAGAAGTGTTATTTTAAAAGCATATGCACTCATGAATCAAATTATTTTGTTAGCTTTGTATTGATGAAGTTCTGTGTATGAAATTGTACTTGCAAAATCTAATGACTTTTGTTTTCTTATACTAGTAAATGGAGATGTGTTTTTACAGAACTTAAGCTTTAGAAAATTAAGTTGCATGCTTATCTCTAAGCACTTTGAAGTATTAAGTTACCATGGATTTAATTCTGAAATGTAATTGTAGGTAGAGAGGCTGGGTGTGGTGCAAATATTTCTTGATTGTGAGTAGGGTTTTGTTCATTTGTTTTATGTTCAGCCATCACTTGCTGAAGTCAGCTCAAAACATACATAATTCTTATATCGTTCTTGTGTTTTAATACTGTTCCTTGGTCATTGTACTCAGATTCCTCTTGAATAGTAAAAAATACACAATAGCAAGATTGGTGTTCAAATTTTGTGTCCATTTTTTGTTGCCCTAGTGACTTTTCTAAAATTGAAATTAAGTATGTATTAAAAAATAATAATATTAATAATATTAAAAATAATACACATTTTTATTTATTTATTTATTTATTTTTCATAAACTTCTAAACTTCTTAGAAGTTTGTGTTTCTTTCTTTAATTCTTTGGGAATTGAAATTAGAGCCAAAAACTAAAAAGCTATTAGTATCCATCAGTTGAAATGCCAAACGATTGTCGTATCACTTACCAAGCTACTTCAGGTAAACTTACAAGCGATCTGTATGGATTAGAAGTGTGTGTTTTCAGTTGTTGTTAAAGTGTGTTAGTATTTACAAATGTGACTTGTTATTTTTCAGGTTGCCAAACTGCGTGTGCAAGTAATAGCGTCTGAAGCCATTCTTACTCTCCTTAAAAGAAGGTAGGAGCTATATTTTTATTTTTAAGCCTTAGCAGGAGAACAAATAACAGATGCTGTTAGTATAACCTTTTGCCATTTTAAAGTATCAGAAGATATTATGAAACGCCGCATTTGAAGTCTCGCTATGTGATGAGACTGGCTTAATCTGATTAGTTTGTTAAAAGTGAAGGGGTGGCTACAAGATGCTAGTATGATTTAAAAATAGGGAAAAAGCTATCTAAATACTCAGCAAGGTATGGTGCTGGTACTAATTTTATTCCTAACCTGCTTTTTCAGAACCCAATTTCATTTGGTTAATGCTAGCTGCATATTGTAATATCGAGTTCCAAATCGGAATGCCAACAGAGTAAAATCAGTGATACCTGAATATGCTTTATATTTACACTTCCTTGATATGTGACTTCAGTACTGATTAGGCTTGCTGATAGAGTTATAATGTAGTCTTACATGATGATAAGCTGTGGCTTCTGTCATTTTCTTTTATAAACAGAAAAGATTAGTAGCCTATGACCATAAATAAAATAATCAATAGTTCTGATATGCTTTCTTAAAATGTCTTTCTGTTGGTGGGGGGTATCAGAGCAAACTGGTATATTAGTCCAGCAGTATTTTTTTTGGTTCTTGCAACACTTCTCACTAATAAGAGCATTGTCTTACCACACCTGCTAAAGAAAACACTAGAGCCAAAAACTTGTTTGCATCTTGTTTGCTTTTATTTCCGCACCTGAAAGACAAGAGTAATGAATAGAGCTAACGTGTCTCAGTAATGACTCAGGGAAGTCGTAAATTGAGTTGAGATACAGTTGGTCATTTGATAAGGGGATAATTGTCAGGGGTGTGTGATACAGTGTGTTCATGTGTGTGTTCAGTTTTGTTTTATAAATGGATTTTCATAGCCTTAATTATAGAGTGGCAAAGGCCTGACAAAACACTTATTCATCTCCTTCAAATGGAGTTCCACATTTCCTCTTTGGGTTATGAAGGTGAGTAGGGTTTTTTTTTGTTTGTTTGTTTGTTTTGTTTTTGTTCAGTTTTGAGTAACAAGATGAATAAAACTGCATTGGGCTCAGTGCTCTTATGTCTTTGTCTTTAGAGGTGACACTTGGCAGTTGTCTGAAAAATTTGCTAAACAATTTTACAGCCTCTAGAGAAGAATTCAGGTGCTACTTCCATGAATGAACTTCTGTGAACACATCTTCCATCTCCTAGGACAGTGCTCTAGCTGAATGCTTATAGATTTTACTAGATAAATTAGTAAAGACCCTAATTTTTTTTTTTTAAACCGTTTCCAACTGGCATAAAAATACTGTTTTTAAGATGAGTTTCGTAAGTCTTTGGAATAATTTGTAGTACTGAGTTCCTGCAATAGTAGGATAGTAGTCGTAACTCAGGAAGTCCATTTCAATCCTGAATTGTTGACTAGAGACTTGAGGAAGAAAACAAACAGGATAGAGCTCTTCAACCTTCTTGTCAGGACATTTGTAGGGGTACGGGGCAAAGATCCTGAGTTCAAGCTCCAGCACCAGGTGGTATTTAATATAAATACAATGTCTTGTTTGTGCACGAAGCCAGGAGAGGTAGAGGGCAGTGATTTCCAGCAACTGATATACAAAATAAAACAGTTGAACAATATGATGCATCAAAACTGCTAAGGTAATAAAATATAGTCACTGATACAAGTCCACAAAGCATGAAGAATATATTGTAGTATTTCAAAGGCTGTAAGTATATCTTAGCAGCTCTGTAGTGCTTTAAGTTAGTAACTTCTAGTGTTAAATTCCTTGCGACAGCTCCGTGCATTCACTAGCAATGCCTGTTAATCTTGTTATAACTCCTTCACTGAGTCTACTGGGAGACATGCCAAAATCACTCTGTGTACTAATGACAAACCAAAAAGAAATTACCCAATATTTGAGTAGCCACTGCTGTATCCTCATGCCACATATTCCAAATACTTCACTAGTGTATTTGTGTTTCATCCTGTGAATGCTATTATAAAATTCCGGAATGTTTTATTGAAGTCACCACCATCCACCATTTTAAGCTCAGCAGAAGTCAGTTTTGTATTACGCCTGGAGAAGCAGACTTTTCAGAAGGTGATTCCTTTTTGTTCTTCAGTTTCTCAAGCAATACACATCTTTAGACAATTTCCTTGTCACTATTTCATCTTTGCATGTTGTAGTACTTGCTATGAGCTACTTGCTATCTCTTAACTTTATGCAGCCCTGGTAAAAAAAATGTTCTGTCAGACTCTATTCTGAGTGCTATGGAAGCCTTTTTTCATATTATACCAGTGATCTGTCTCCCTTCCCTTGGCATGTCTATGGGCTACAAGCATCACAATGTGTTTTCTTCTGTTTTCATGTCAAAAATGCAACCATAGTGTAAAATTCCACAATCAAAATCTGTTTTAGAGGTGCCAATTATGTGCAAGTAAGATTATATCTTGTTTTTATAACTAGCTATTTTGGAACATGCTATGCAATTTAAATTATGTTGTCTTCTCAGTGGCACCCAATGATAGGACAGGGGGCAATGAGTGCAAGCTGGAACATAGGAGATTCCATGTAAATATGAGAAAAAAGCTTATTCACAGCAAGAGTAAAAGAAGCCCGGAACAGGCTGCCCAGGGAGGTTAGGGGGTCTAATTCTTTGGAGACATTTTTTGAATCAATATTTTGTGTGCTTTTGTTTCCTAGATATCTTCCTGTTCTCCTTCTCCTGCAGGGGAAAGTTTGTCTTCTATAAAACTTTGCAGCTTATTTTTTCTTCCTTGTCTTCCACAAATAAATTGTCATGGAAGTACTTAGCTTATATCTTCTTTGCATCTATGACCTATGGAGAAAATCATTAATCACTTCTGACAAGCATGAGCCTACGTTTCTGCACTGATTACTACTTAAGATTTTTTGAAACTACACTTGCTTTCCTATATCTTCATAGTTGTGCATTGCTGCAATCGCGTTATCAAAAATCTTGATGGCTGCATTACTTCAATTTTCTTCTTGATAAACCTACTAGATCAGTGGGTTTTTTTTTTTTTTTTTTTTTTGTCCCTTTTCTCTAAAGACACAGGCGTACATTTTCTTTTCCTTGATTTGAATGCAGTGAAAACTTAGCTTATACATCTGAAGGACTTAAAATCTAGAACCTGGAAATCTGTCCTCTATTTGTTCCTTTTTGAGCAAAACAAGAATAAATTATATTCTACTCAGCACTGCTATCTCTGCTTAGAAATAGTCTATTATTATGCAATCTCATCTTTGTTTGTGAACTACCAAGCAAACTAAAATTGGGCAGGAAGAGTAGAATGGTTAGATGACTGCTGACAGTGATATGGACCCTAACTAATGGACCCTAATTTGTGATGGAGAAAGAGCAGTTGCAGCATTTCTCAGCAGAAATCCTCTAACTCCTCTGCAGTCTTGTTGATGCTGTCTTATAAGGTTACATGCATTCATGTGTTGCCCTACTCATATGAATGCTCTTCTGCAAGACACTGGCTTTGACTGAAACTTTAGTGATTTAATTGAAGCTATTGTCTGTGACTGGGTGCATTTATGTTAAAGCTCTCTTGGGAACTTTGAATTATATATTGAATATTTTGCTAAGGGAAACTGATTGTTCTTAGTTTCATTCCAAGCTTGTGTAAAGAGTACGTGATATTTGTAACGGTGGCTTGTTGCAGTTTAGTTTCTCCCGTTATCCCATTAATGTATTAAGAATGAGAGAAACTTCTGAGATTCTCTCCTGAGATATGTATGTATTTTGCTTTGCATGCTTTATATTCATATGAATGGAGAAGTGTATTGAAATCCATTATAGAAGTGTTTTACATCTAGGCCTGAATATTTGGAGATCATAATTTTCTTCCTGCAGAGGAGAGGTCTGCTGGTTAATTTGTTGCCTCAGAAGAAGTTTTAGAATAAAGTTCTAGAGATTGTGTTATCTAGAGTAGCTGTGACCAGTAAAGCAATGATCCTTGATAAACAGTTGAGTTTGGAAGAAACATAAGGAGTGTATCTAGTCCAGCCCCCATTCGAACCAGCTGAAACTGGTGTTGGATGCTCAGAGCCTCTCCACCTCCATTTTGGACACTTCTGAGGATGGTGATTCCACAGCCTATCCGGAAAAGCTTTTCCAGTGTTAGACTTCTTTCATCACAACAACTTCACATTTATTTTTTTTCCCCAGATATCAAATCAGTTTTTCCTGCGTTGATCTTTGTCTCCATTGCCTCTCATATTGTCACTGTACTCCAAAAAGAGTCATCTTTAAGGCATTCCATTATATAGCTTAAGATTTCCCCCCAGCTTTCTCTCTTCAAATTGGAACAAGCTCAGTTCTCATGTGTAGTATGAACACAGACCTGAAACTGGACTCTGCTTCTAGGAGGATGAACCGAAGAGTCAGTTGTTTATAATGATATAGTGATCTATCTATAATGTTCCTTGCTGCTGCGTTTTGTACCAGTGGAAGGAATTTTTTTTGGATGTATACTTTCATTTATAGATTCAAAATACAGAACATCGCTGTAGCTATTGATCTGTATACTTTCCATCTTTGTTTGAGTGTGGATTTTGGGCTGTGGCACACAAATATTCCTCCACATCTACCAAAATCTCAGGCCTATTCTGTAAATTTGAGCGCAGAGGGTTTTACATTGAACAGAAACAGAATGGTTCCCAGAAAAACAGTACTTCAAGACCAAATTAATATGTTGATGACTCAGATCAGATCTTGAACCCAGCAAAATGTGGAGAGAAGACAGTAGTGGTTCCTCCCTTTGATTTATTTCATGTCTGTGAAAAAAGCATTTTCGAAGAAACTTGTTCCAGTAGAGGCAGTTAGAGAGGTGAAATAAAAACAAACAAAAAAAAGCAAAGATTATGTTAGTGGAAATGAAGGCACTGGTAACAGCAAATGTGACCAAGAGTTAAGTATAGGTGGTATAGAAGGTCACACTGAAACTACTGCGTGATGAACAAATGATCACAGAAATCACTGTGTACATATCAAGACATAAAGGGTTTTGTGGGTCTAAGTCATTCAGGTGCATGAAGTTGCTGCTTATTCTTTTAACTCTACAGTAATTTATTTCAGGGCAAGAGTGAAAAAAAAGTAATAGTAATACTGGGAGAGGGGAGTCATGGAAACCATTGCATTTCTGCAGTGCAGTAGGGGAGATTACTTGTAGAAAGGGGAGGAGTCCATTTGCTTTTCAGCCTCTATTTTAAATAATGAAACATTTATTCCCAAGCAGAAGAAAAAGTGAAACAATAGAGCTGTGTTTAAAGTAAAATGGTCATTTGTCCGGACTCTGATTTCTGGTTCATCAGTACGTCTTTGTGAGAGGTACTTCCCTGAAATATGCCTTTGTTTCAAATGGAATGCAACCAGGGGCGTATAGTGCAAGACGTCTCAGTTGGACAGGCTTAAACAAACAATAAGACAGTGCAAAGACTGCAATTATTATTATTATTTTTCTGTGCCATGCTCTATTCATTACCTGATTAAAGCATGAGCCAAAGCACTATAGCTTGAATCTTCCAACCAGAAGAGTTCTATACCACAATTTTGAAGGTTGATTGGGGATATTTTTGGGTGGTTGTTTTAAGCAAAAGGCAACATTTTTCAGAAGGCCACTTTTCAATCTGTTTATTTGATTATGTTCTAAATGATGACAGTGAATTGTAAAGCTCTTTTTATTTTTATATATTCACAAGGACAAACACCAGCTTTTTGTCTTTTCCCAGACCACTGAGCCCAGTTATCTTCTGTTATGCTTGGAGGGAATATGACAGGTGGTAAGAGATGGCTTTGGGTCACTTTCAGTGTAATACATCTATGTTCTCAAGAGGACATCTGCTTACCCAGAGGCTGCAACAGTTTTTCTTCTCTCCATGTTGTTTATTGAGAGCAAATAAGGAATTTTTATTAATGCATTTTTGTTCATCAAGCCTCTGTTTTGATATCAATTACTGTTTTGATATGAAAGAATATTGAGACTTCCTTTCTCTGTCACAGAGCCACAGTGTGGCCTTGTCAAAGCAGGAACTTGTGATTGGTAGCCTAAGGCATACAGGATACGCTTCTAAGTTTATTTGCTGCACTTTCCCTGTGTACTGGCATGTTGACTTTGTGTGTACCAGTGTAAAATACTAGTATATTTTAATTTTTTGTTATTTGATTCTTTTTGAAAGCACCACCTAGTGGTTGGAATGGAAAGAAAGAAAGGGGAGGAGTGGAGCTTTCAAAGTAGAGTTTTGTTTCTGTTTCGGCGCTTTTTTCTGTCTAAATTCTTCTTTCATCTTCTCTTTGCTAACTATGAAGCTCAAGAACATTTTCCCCAGATTCCAGCCTCTTTCATATTTGGAAACTAGCTGGCTGCATGCCACCACTGTGCTGCTTATTTTTCCTTAATGCTTACACTGAAATGAATGATTACCAAGAAATATACAAGATGACTTCTGTATTATAGATAGAAGTGATATTCTACCAATGGAACCACATCTTGCTGTTTTAGGAGCAGGTTAGTCTTCAGCAAGGCAATATGGGGCAGAGCTTTTGTTCTGTCAGCAACTTGATTTATTTATTTATTTCTCTCCAGTACTGTGATTTACAAATAGTTTTGATAGAACAGAGTTCTTAACAAAATAGTAACCAAGATGCAAGGGTAGTGTGATCTCCACAGCTAAAAGGCGCATATCAGAAGGCTGGCTTTTATGGGACAATGTGTGCACTGTTGAGAAGCGAGGATGGCGGGTGGGAGAGAGACAGCTTATGCCACCTGTTGTAAAAGCCATAATTGCCATAGGATCAAGACATAGATACGACCAACAACCAGGAAGCAATGAATAATAAATCATGGAGAATTTAAATGTGATGGCAGAGAATTAGGAGAAGCTGAATACTGCAGGACTTAGGCATCTCCGTGACCAGAAGTCAGGACAAGTCATCAAAGAATTTGTGAGGTGATTTGCACTTGTTTGTGTCTGGCAGCACTTGTGTTCAAGACTGGCATTAATTGTATTCATATGACAGCCTTGGCTCAGTAGTATGAGCATCATTAAATCTGCACAAGTAATTGATATTTTTTGGCCATAGAACAAAACTATTCATAAATTTCAGCCCAATGAAATGAACAGTATTTCATAAAAAAATAAAAATATAGCTATATTTTTAATAATATAACTGAAATTAAAATATATATTTATTTTTTTCAGCAAAATGAAAAAAATGCATATAAACAGCTAAATTTCATAACCACTGGCAATCACAGGGGCAATCAGATGGTGTCACACCTTGCACTCTGTCTTGGATCAAATCCTGTCTCTGACTAACAGGTCTTTAAAATCTCTCTTCCTCCCCAGTTACCTCTATCTGCCCTTCTTGTCATCACCATGTTTTAGAACTAGTGTTGTCTTTTAATTTCATTTAAAATATTGAGAAAAAGCTGTTTTCTGAAGATCACTGAAAATGAACATACATAACTGCAGCATCTTAGCAGATAAAGCATTAAAGACTTGTGTTACAGTATGCTATTACCTGCTTATTGGAATATTTAGAGAAGAAAATACCGAATCATAGATTGGCCTGGGTTGAAAAGGACCACAATGATAATCTACTTTCAACCCCCCTGCAACCACCAGACCAGGCTGCCCAGAGTCACATCCAGCCTGGCCTTGAATGCCTCCAGGGTGGGGGTATCCACAACCTCCTTGGGCAACCTGTTTCAGCGCATCACTACCTTCTGTGTGAAAAACTTCCTCTTAATATCTAACCTAAGCTCCCCCCAGCCTTAGTTTGAAATCATCCCCCCTTGTCCTATCATTATCGATCCTGGTAAACAGGTCCTGGTAAAACTCTTTTCAAATCTTCAATAAGGTCTGCCTGGAGCCTTCTCTTCTCCAAGCTAAACAATCCCAGTTCCCTCAACTTTTCATCATAGGAGAGGTGCTCCAGCCCTCTGATCATCT